AAATAAAAATAAAATAAAAATATAAGATAAAAATAATAAATAAATAATAATAAATAATAATGGATAATAATATAAATAATGCCGAATAACGAAAAGAACTGATATAATAAAGATAATAAATAATAAAAACAATAAATAATAAATAAATAAACTTTATATTATATAAATTTCCGAAATAAATGCATTGTGACAAAACGGAATGCGATTCAAATTATTATCTTTGAAAATAGTAATGCAATAAAACTTTAAAATGCACACACACACATATATATATATAGTATTAAGATAATGAAGTATACAAAAATTGTATAATTAAATCTATATAATAAATAAAATAGATCAATATAAGTATAAAATAAACTTTTTTTTCTGAAATATTTTAGAGAAACTATGAACTGGCTAATTTTAGAAAATTAAAATACAATCATATATACGTTTATTGTTTAAAATATTTTAAAATTTCAGATATTCACACACACACACACATATATATAGATCTCTGAGATTTTTTTTTTTCATTTTTATTATTACTTTTTATCAAAGATATATTTACGTATTAATAAGTAATAGTAGTAATAAGCAGTAAATTAATAAAATGGTCATAAAGAAAGTTATGAAAAAATTTTTTAAACGTGTTATTAAAAGGAAAGAAGCTTGTAAAGATTCTAAAAATAAAATTAAAGATGAAATCAAGGATGATGATGATAATAACAAAAAATCACGAAAAACGTTTTGGAAAAGAATGTTAAAATCGAAAAACAAAAGGAAATTACGAAAAGAAAATATCTTGTTACAAAATTCTCCAACAATATTATTAATACCAATTGATATTTTACATGAAATATTTTATTATCTTCAAAATGATCTTCATTCTTTACATTCGTGTTTACGAGTTTCCAAACAATGGTGTCAAGCGATAATTCCAATATTTTGGAGTAAACCATTTCGTGAAAATAAAAGTTCCGTTAATGTGGTTAATACATTTTTAAAATGTTTAAATAAACAAGAAAAAAATAATTTAACATACAATCTTGGTAATCTTGACGATGGTGATGGTGATGGTAATAATCTCGATATCGATATTCTTGACGATCGTAGTACAGTATTATTTCAATATGCGAATTTTTTAAGAGAAATCAGTATGCAAAGATTATATCTTGGAGTAAATACTTGGGTTAATAAGAAGAAGATTGATAAAACTTGGGATACTTTAGTAATTAATAAGTACGTAATAATTTTATACTTTCATAATTGATAAATATTTTAATATTTATATAAAATATATATTATATCAATAATAATTTATAATTATATCAATAATAATTTATAATTATATCATAATAATGTATAATATATACAATACACAATATACAATATATATATAATATAAAAATTAATAATATTTTTTATATTTTTTTAGATATAATAATTTAATATGTCGAGCATTATGTCGTCTTTTCCTAACAAATAGTAAATCACTTCGTTCATTATCACTTGATTTTTATAATTCATCCAAATTTAAATCATATCCATACTTTCCATATCACAAAATGGCCAAACAATTCTTAACGAATCTTTGTGAATTGACAATTCATTATCATTTATCTCGTCGTGATTTATTTATGGATTTTCAAGAATATTGTAAAAATTTAAAAAGACTTGAATTAATTGATTACACTTGGAAGAATTTACCCGAGAAACGACATGATTCAGTTAGAAAATTAATACAAAATCAAAATGGATTACAATATTTAAAAATTTATGGATACGGAGAATGTTGTATAGTGAAACCGATGATAGGATTAAGTTATCAATCAAAATCTTTAGTTCATTTTGAATTAATTTATTGTAAATTTTATACTGCTGATGAAATTAATCAAGAATATTATAATCATCAAGATAATAACAATAAGGATAAAAACATTACAAGTGTCGATGGATTTAAATCACTTTCAACATGTAATAATTTAAGAACATTAATTATATCTTATTGTTATTTCTCACATGAATCGATTCTTTATCCAATGACTACCTGTAAATTTACACAAATACAAAAACTTCATTTTCGACATATTTTAAGTGATTTATCTACCACTTTTAGTCTCATGTTAAGAAATAATTCAAACACTTTAAGAGATATTCATTATACGGATAATGTTTCACGTAATAAAACTTTACCCATTCTTGAATCAATATTAGTTTCTTATAACAAAAACAATTATTACTACAATAACTACAACAACAACTACTACTTCAACTACTACAACAATGACTATAACAATGACTACTATAACAATGACTACAACAATGACTACAACAATGACTACAACAATGACTACAACAATGACTACAACAATGACTATAACAATGACTACTATAACAATGACTATAATAATGACTATAATGATGGTGATGATGACAACAACTATAAAAACAACTACATCAACAACAATAATAATAACAATAATAATAATAATCAAAATGATATATTAACACATATAACGATTCCATTCAAAAAGGAGCAAACGCATCAATTAATTACACTTTTATCATTATTATCAGATAATTTGGTTTCATTAAAATTAGTTGGACCTTATGGACATGAGAGAGAATTTAAAGAATTTTTACCACAATTAAGTAGTTTACTCCCTTTAACGTTGAGGAATTTAAGTTTGGACTTAAGTTGGGTGATTTTTGATAATTTAGATGAATTCTTGAAGAATTGTAAGCCACCATTAAATAGTTTTTATATTGGAGGATGGAAAAGGCAAATGCCGATTAATCATTTATTAATAATTAAGAAATATTTGAAAGAGAAAAGGAAAGGAATTGAATTTTATGAATTTGTTAAAGATATCACATAAAAGCATCACAATAAATATAAATATTGTTGCATATATAGTATATATAATGTAAATATCAAATTAGATGCTTTAGGTAATATTCAGGTAACAAAGTAACGAATGCTACGATTTTCACTTTAGAACCAAATAAAAATTATCAGAGTTTTAAATATAAAAATATTTATTATTTTTATAAGTATTTATAAAAAAATATAATTTATATTTGTGTACAATAAAAAGCAAAAAAGGGATATTTTTGAAAAAAACAAACTACAATATCATTTACTAAAACTCAATAAATTTATTTATCTAAATTGTAATAAATAAATGATAAAAATAATGAAAGCAATTATTATTATTTAAAAAACAATATACAAAAATTTATAAACGAAATCCTACATAAATATTTGAATTTGCAACAAGATATTCATTAGTTTTGATCATCACAGTTTCAACATCTATTTAGATTTTTTTTAACTTATGATATAATTTTTCAAAAATTTATTTTATATAATTTTAAAATTAGTTTTAATTAATTTTGTATCTATTTTTCATTAATAAATAAAATATTCAATATAAAATCAATATAATCTTAACTGAATTGTAATAAATAAAATATAATGATAAGAATATTAAAATATAAAAAAATATATGGGTATTGCCAGTGGTGATCATATTTAAACCGAAAATAACCGGTTCAGTTTCAGCTTGTTCTCGGTTTCACTGCTAAACCGAACCAAACTGAACCATTGAGAGCTTTAAATAAATCATGTTTATAACAAAAATAATTTTCCATATTGCCAGTTAAACCATCATTTACAAAGTGACTTCTACAAATTATATTATTATCAGTTATCTTTTCTATTTTAATATTATATATACTAAACATATCATCTTCTAAAGTTTTGAAATGACACCATACCTAACTCTTTTTTATATAAGGTCATCTTGATTTTTTATTATTATTATTTTTTTATTATTTTTATTATTATTTATATTTTTACTATTATTATTTGTATTTGTACTATTATTATTTGTACTATTATTATTTGTAGTATTTATAGATAAGTTGAAATTTTCTTTACTAATAGACATTAGTAAAGGATCTATATCATCATTGAAAGTATCATGTTCAAAACAATCATATTCATGGTCACTAATTATTATCTCTACTTCACTAATATCACTTATTTTAGAAGAAATAATTAAAAAAAAAGATTGATTAATAATTAATATCTATAAATTAATAAGTGAAAATACAAATCAGTAAGAAATATAAAATTATATGAATAAATCATTTAATAGAACTTCCTATGAACTTACAAATTCACAAACTTACAAGTCTAATTCTAAGGAAAGAAGGTAAGTATTATTATTATTAAAACCTTTCATACATCCACTGCAAATCTAGAAGAGGAGAGGAAAGAAGAGAAAGTAAGTATACTATAAAAAACAAAAAGAATCTACTTATAAATTGTTCATTAGAACTCACGAATCTTCACAAACTCAATTTCAAGAAAACATATTATTACAAATCTGAAAAAGAAAAAAAAATAAGTATTTATTTATAAAGAATAAAAAAAAAAATTAAAAATTAAAAATAAAACATATTTTCATATATTTGTTATGATTCCAAGAAAGTATTACAATTATAAAACTCCACAAAATCAATTCTGAGAAGATATGCTGTTGTTACCAGTGGTTTCTAGTTTTCTTGAGAACAAGCTAGTGAAGTAACTTAACAGTTTTTTTAAGGAGTTTATAATCCTTTCTCAAAGGTAAGACTGTTGTTTAGTTGTTTTAAAAGGTGTTACTAATTCAATTATTCTAGACTATACTATACCTGCCACCCAAATTCAAAATCCAAATGCCGAAATCCCAAATGCCAAAATCCCAAATCCCAAATCCCAAA